GTTTGATTATCAGATACAAAATTATATCGGGAAAAATTCCTAAAAGCTGAGACCACGGGTGAAGCCAGTTCATTTTTAGAGTGCAGGAACAAAATACTAACAGAAAAACATTCATTCGAGCAGAAGACACAAAGCCAGATCATCTCTTTATAAAAATATCGCTTCTCTGACACAAAGTTTGGAGCGGGACGTTTCACAAGAGTGACATCCACAGGGCCAATTTATAATTGTAACGAATAGTATTTTAATAAAAAAAATTTAATCGGGTAAAACCCGGGCGTTGCCCGGGTCATTCGGCTAGTTGATGTATATAGTTGTTTAATTGTTTTGCATAATATTTCATTTATAAATTAATCTCATAATTTAGTCAGTGAAAATAAAAATATTGACTGGTGACCAAACAAACTGTAAAGAGAGGGCTTAATATTTTATAGTCTATATTAATAAAATGGAAATTTCATAAGTGTTGTTCACTAAAAACTTTCGTTACAATGCATCAATTTCGACCAAATTTTCAACATTTATGTAAAACGAGATGGAGCAGGTTTTGCTTAACATCAAAATATTTTTCCTAACTTTAACATTCATAACTTTGCTGTTATCGATAAAATACAAAAAAATTCAACAGAGTTAAAGTGTTTACACTTTTAAAAGTGTTTACACTTTAGCGCTTTTTTGAAAATTAGTTTTAATCTTTTTATATATATTTTAATAACTTTTATACATGGTAAGATACTTTTATTTTATAGTTTTCATATTTTATACCGAAAAAAGTTGAAGCCTTACTTGATGAGATCAATTTTATTTTTTAGATAAATTTTTAGGCTTTTCGAAAGTGTTTACACTTTTGAACTTCTTGGAAAATTAGTTTTAATTTTTTTTATATATATTTTAATAACTTTTATACATGGTAAGATACTTTTATTTTATAGTTTTCATATTTTATACCAAAAAAAGTTGAAGCCTTACTTGATGAGATCAATTTTATATTTTAGATAAATTTTTAGGCTAATTTTAATTTATTTCTTTTTTATTTTATATGCAGATTATATATGCTATTTCTAACTTACGTGGTTAGTATTTTTATAAGACTAAGGTTATTTATATTATTTTTTACAAAAAAAGATTGAAATTTCATTAATGTGCTCAATTTTATGTCTTTTTTGAGGACCTTAACAAAATTTTTAATTAATTGTTCAGATATTTTAATAACAGATTATTTATGGCGTTTTACACTTATATGGGTTGTTTTGTAAAAAAAATTTGGGTTATTTCTATTTTTTTTCACTAAAAAGCTTGAAATTTCATTAATGTGCTCAATTTTATGTCTTTTTTGAGGACCTTAACAAAATTTTAATTAATTGCTTAGATATTTTAAAAGTAGATTATTTATAGTTTTTTTTAACATATAGGGGTTGTATTTTGTATTTTAGAAAATTATTTCTATTTTTAGCTCAAAAAAGCATGCTTTTTCATTGCCGTATCCAGCGGTTGGTCTATTTTTGAAGCTTTTTAATGATAACTGGTTTTGTACATTAATTTTTTGGTAATATATAATATTATGATTTTAGTTTTTTAAAATCTTTTTAACATATCTGAAGGTTATTTTGAATAAAAAAATTAAAAATTTTGAACATATAGGGGTTGTGTTTTGTATTTTAGAAAATTATTTCTATTCTTTAGCTCAAAAAAGCATGCTTTTTCATTGCCGTATCCAGCGGTTGGTCTATTTTTGAAGCTTTTTAATGATAACTGGTTTTGTACATTAATTTTTTGGTAATATATATTATGATTTTAGTTTTTTAACATCTTTTTAACATATCTGAAGGTTATTTTGAATAAAAAATTAAACACTTTATTTAAATGCATTTTAAAAGAAAGAAGCCTCTACTGGGCTCAAGTGTCTCTTGCGGTGTATTGTTGTTAAAATTAATTATTTTAAAAAACTACCCAAAAAGTTTTTCCTTCACGCCTATTAGAAATAAAGAGGTTGTCGAGTGGCGGCGTGAGGGTTGGGGTCGTTAAACAAAGACAGTAGGGGGGATTGGGGGAGGGGGTGGTCCACCAATCAGGTTACAAGGGCACGCTGGCTACCAAAGGGCAGTGTGGCGGGATGTTTTCCCAAGTCGTCCACTGCTGCTGCTACAAACAGCCCGGCAGACATTTTCTACTTGCCAACTGCGTCAAAAAGGTAAGCTACCCGAAATTTAACTACCTATTCTAACTTTTAAAATGCAAATAACAAATTTAAGACAATTTAAATCAAGCCCCAGAAATTCTTGATCCTAAATTCGGTATTTCATAAAATAATCTTTATTATATTAATTTAAAAACTTCTAAATTATATTGAATTATGTTCAAAACAAAATGAAAATAAATGAATTTTCTTTGGGGACTTAAAATTCTTGGTTTCAAGTCAATTTTGTATTGAATATGAGTTCTATTTCCAATTAATTATAACAGAATATTATATTTTGGATTCGGTATTGGGAAATCATAGTTTTTTACCCAATATGGAATCAAATTCAATGTCTTATTTTTTGAATTAGATATAATAAGGGAATTTTTGGGGGTGATTCGAATATGGAAAACCTTGGTCATAAAACCAATTTGGTATCAAAAGAACCGACGTCTTATTTCCAATCACTTGACTGAATCTTATCTTTTCCTAAACATAAGCATTTCATTCTGTCATCTATATAATAATAATAATAATAATATTAAACTTTATACATTAAAATTACAAAAATACTATGAAGATTCAAATGGCAATTTCATATAATTTTTTATAGATTCAAGATTACTTAAATTTTTGTACATCCTATTTTTTATAATATATATTTTTTACGGAGAATAACTTTAACGCATACTAATATTGAATTGGTAGAATTGATTTTTCAATATGCTTATGCAACCAAGAAGGTCATAACCCAGAGCGTATTTTTATTCGATGCCCACTTGCAGATTTGAGAAAACAGTCTCAGTATAAATCAAAGGGTTTCCAGCAAAGAATAATATATAAAATTTAACAAGTTCTCTTCTGAATTTTTCTCAACTACCGTGGACCTAAACTACCCTAATGAATAGAAAAACTCTGACTTCAACTATTGTATATATATATATATATACATATATTATTTATAAATACCTTATATTTATATCATATTAATTTTTAGTGGTCGATATTATAAAAAAATAAACGACAATATATAAATTAAATATTACGATGAATCAAAAACTATTAAATAAGATCTAATATGTAAATGATCAATACACTCTATTTATTTTAAAATTTTCGCTGTAAAATAATTTTCCATTCTCTCTCTAATGCTAAATATTATTTGTTTATATATTTATTGAAAATATGTATATAAAATATTTTAAAAGTTTCACGCAAATATCTACTTGGAGTATAGCGTGTGCTTGGTAATAAATAATCTCAACGGAATTGTAGTTGGGATATGGGACTGGAAAATATTGGTCTTAGAACCAATTTGGTATCAATGCGATGTCTTTTTCCCAATTAGTTATCATAACCAATTTATAGTATGGTTTCAGACGGTAAAATCTTGGTCTTAAAACCAATATGGTAGCAAATATGGTAGATATTAAAACTAAAATATCGACTCTATATATAAAGGAAATTTTACAATTAACAATAAACACTTTCGATTAAATGCATATTCTAATAAAATATGATAATTTACAAACTTAGCGACAACAAGATTATATTATCACCAAAATTTCTGGTTAGTTTGAACATGGAGAAAATATATATTATTGATATCAATAATTCAATCAATGATAAAGAAAACAAAATTTTCTAATATAGAGTTCAAATATACAGTTACGAGCGTCATTCTTCATCTCCTAATAATCAGTTTTCATCTCTGTCACCGTTTGCTTTTTTTTTTGGAATGGCGCCTTCCTATTGGTTGGCTACGGTCACGCCACCTTTGCCCCCCCCCCACTCGCTTATTCGTTTTTGTAACTATTGTGTTGGAGCGGGTCGCTCCTTTAATAAATGCATATATTAGTTAATAACTAAATGGAATCCTCTCTTTCTTTTTCCCAGTAAGAGACGCCTACGGAAGCCAACAGTACATAGACAGATAAAGCACATAGGCTATAGTTATTAACTAATATATGCATACATTTAAGGCGCCAATTTATAATTGTAACAAATAGTATTTGAAACAAAACATTCAATCGGGTAAAACACGGGCGTTGCCCGGGTCATTCGGCTAGTAGATATATAAATCTGATATAGCATCTATGTGGCTCTTTGCGATACTAATAATGACAAATAATTTGTCACCCTACTTAGCTAGATTAAAGAGAAGAGACTTCTTAGAAAGATTAGTTTGTTCTGTCTATGTTTATAATAAAAAGATTTGGCGCTTCAAAATTGCATGTCTTTAATTTTGATAATGATATCAATGCGTAGAGAATGTAGTTATAATATGAAAAAAAAAAAGAGAAATTGTTTGAGAAAAATGTATTTTCGTACTTTTAAAGATACCTCTTAAAAATCACTTATAAAGAGTCAATAAACCTTTTGGGATTAATTAATTGTATACAGAGGTAGAAATGATTGTTTAGGAGATTTTCCAGTATGTTTAGGTCTGCAAATGAAAGTAAATAAATTATATGACATCAATTAAATACAGATTGCTATATATGTGAGTGCTGGTTCTATAGCCGCTTTATATTTTATAACTTATTTATAACCGAATTAGAGCTAACACAAAAGTTGCACAGGAGGATTTTCTTTTTGCTTATCCCTAGTACACGTGGTACAGGCCATAATAAACATGGTGGGTAGTTAGCGACTGCTTTTACTGTAAGTGCATCATATGTCTACACATGTGAAAAGCAGTTCGACTTTGGACATACAAATGTGCCAGAGCCCCGTTTGGTTACTTGCACTCGCTGGTGGGTTTGGGCTTTTGCAAGAATCGGAGGGCCATTGGAGCATTTTCTTTTTTTAATCAGAAAAGTGCCCCATGCGGGAATCGAACCCGGGTTGTAGCGGTCGAAAACCAATGGTTTAGAACATCCTTCCACCGACAGGGTGAATGATATTTATGAACCAAAGAGGCACTTGACCCTTTAATTATGCATTGTCTAGAGTTTTAAAAATAGATAAGATAAAACGCAAAACTATAGTGATTTATACTGTAAGGTGGAGCTGCATTTTAGATGTGCAGACATGCGATGTACTCACAGCAGTACACAAGCAGTCAAATACATCTACCCACCATGATTATCGTGGACTGGTACTACATTTGGTGTACAAGAAGTCAGAATACCCACCATGATTATCAAGACTTAATATTAAAGGTTTCGGAGCACTTCTTTTGATATATATAATTTGATGGATAATAATATTTTCACGAAGATTCCAAAAATATTTATTAATTATTTTTAGCAAAGTAACAAAAACAAAAAAATTACTCTTCAACATTCAAAGAAAGCAAACAAAATTAAACAAAACAAAAAAAAATAATTAACTATTTTTACATATTTTATATTTGTACAATTAATATTTGCATATATTTGAAAAACAAAACTGTCGAATTACTCTTCCCAAAAAAAAAAAAAACGCCTCGCTGTTTGCAGATAATTTACAGGATTAAGATATTTGGTGTCTCACTCTGGCTCTTGTGGTTGGACCAGAGTGTTGGGTGGGACTACGGGACGGTGTCTTCTCTGCTGCTTGATCTATAGTCACGTATTGGCCTTTTGGATCTTTATACGGCTTCATGCGCAGGATGTGCACAACATCCCTGACTTTGCGTCTCTTTGATGTTGGGTCAAAATCTTCGATCTCATAAGTGACGTCAGATAGCCTACGCAACACCTTGTATGGACCGAAGTATCGCTTCATTAATTTCTCTGAAAGTCCAACCCGTCGGATGGGAATAAATATCCAGATAAGATCTCCGGGCTGGTAGTAAATCATCCGGTGCCGTGAGTTGTATCTCTCCTCGTCTTTCTGCTGCGCCTCTAATGTACGCAGATGAGACAACTGTCTTGATTCTTCAGCTTTTGTTATGAGATGGTCTACATAATCATCTTCGGTATTTTCGGAGCAGAATGGAAACATAGTGTCTAGTATTTTCTCTTCTTCACTTACATGGAGCAGGAAGAAAGGTGAGGTACCAGTGGTCTCCTGCCGAGATGTATTGTAAGCAAAGGTCACAAATGGCAACACTTCATCCCAGCTTTTCTGCTCGACATCGACGTAAATTGAAAGCATATCGCATAGTTTCTTATTGTATCTTTCCAAAATACGTTGGTCTGAGGATGGTACGCCGTGGTCATTCGGTGCATGGTGTCGCATAATTTGATGATTTTGGAAACCACTCGAGATTGGAAAACTCGGCCTCGGTCACTACTAATTATCCTGGGTGTCCCTTGTTTTAGAATTACTTCTTTTAACAGAAATTTGGCTATTTCGATTGCCCCTGCATTTAGTAAAGCTCGAGTAATTGCAAACCGAGTAAAATGGTCGCTGCAGACTCATTTGTTTCCCATATTAGATTTTGGAAACCGTCCAAAAAGGTCTATTCCGATTATTTGAAAAGGTGCTTCTGCTGGGGGAATCGATATCAGACGCCCTGGAGGTTGCTGTGGGATAGACTTTCGTCACTGACATTCCCTGCAGTGGGCAACGTATCTTTTTACACTTCTATAGAGGCCAAGCCAATAAAATCGAAGACGGATTCTGTCATACGTTCTCAGGAATCCAAGATGGCCAGCAGTTACTGAGTCATGTAAGTGTTCTAGAACTTCTTGACGGAGATGTTTAGGAATGACTGTGAACCATTTCTTCCCCAAAGGGTCATAGTTTTTCTTGCAGAGAACCCCTTCCACCAGCTGGTATATATTTTCGTTTGAATCTTCTGTTGTATTTCTTCGGTTCGTCATTATTCGAACAAGATCAGGATCTCACTGTTGCTTTGAGGGGAGGTCAAGCCGATTTATTGCGCCCATATCGAGGCTATCGGCGTCTTTGTGTTTGTGTCCACTTTTATATATCACCATAATGTCGTATTCTTGAAGGCGCAATGTCCATCTTTCAAGTCTTCCGGACGGATCTTTAAGACTGGCAAGAAAACAGAGCGCATAGTGATCAGTCACTACAGTGAAGGGTTTCCCAAATAAGTATGGTCTGAATTTGGTAATGGCCCATACGACTGCCAGATATTCCCTCTCTGTAATCGAAGCCCGTATAGCCCGAGATGCGTAGGTAAAGGCTTTTTCTTCTCTATTTTGTAGCTGCACAAGAACTGCTCCAATACTATAACCACTCGCATCGGTATGTAATTCAATTGGACAGGTCTCGTTAAAAAGTCCAAGAACTGGAGCCGCTGTGAATTATTCCTTCAAATTTTCAAAAGATTGTTTCTGATCAGAACCCAAAGAAAACTTTGCACCTCCCTTCAACAGAAGTTGAAGTGGTTGAGCTCTGTTTCAGAAGTTCTCTATGAATCTCCAATAGTAAGAACACAATCCCAGAAAGCTCACAACATCGTGTATGTTCTTGGGTGTTAGGAAATTCTTTACGGCTTTTATTTTATCTAGGTCAGGCCGGATCCCTCTGTGGGATACGCGGTGTCCTAAAATCTTAATTTCGTGAGCAGCAAACAGACATTTATTTGGGTTCAGGGTAAGTCCAGCACTCTGCATGCATTGATGAATTACCGTTAGTCTATTAAGATGTTCTTCAAAGGTCTCAGAAAGTACTACGATGTCGTCCATTTAGCAGAGACACATTGTCCACTTTTAATGTCGTAACAAATTGTCTATCATTATTTCGAACGTCGCCGGGGCATTGCAAAGGCCGAATCACATCACTTTAAACTGGTACAATCCCTCAGGAGTTATGAAGGCTGTTTTCTCCTGATCAGCCTGAATTTACCAATAGCCAGAATATAAATCCTTAGATGAAAAGTATTTAGCACCTTTTAGACAGTCTAACATATTGTTTATTCGGGGTGAAGGGTAAAAAAAACGTCTTTCTTAGTGATTTTATTCAATCAACGATTATCAACACAAAAGCGCCAACTCTCATCCCTTTTTTTCACCAGGACAACCGGGGATGACCATGCGATGGTTGGATAATATCGTTTTTCATCATCTTATCTACCTCTTCACTTATTATGCGACGCTCAGCAGGCGAGACTCTGTAAGCTCCTTGGCTGATGGGTGGATTATCTGCAGTCTCAATTCGATGTTTTATCTAGACTCCATCAGCGCCGCCCTTTCTTTGGCTGTTGAAAATTGTATAAAATTGTATAAGCAACCCTAGTAACTTTTCATGCTTTTCGCTTGTGAGGTTAGGGGAAACCATCGAAGAAAAATTTATTTCTCTGCGTTCTTCGGTAGATGTTGTAGTTGTTTTTGAAGATGTCGCTTCCACAACACTCAAATAAGCTTCCCTTAAAGGTTCGGCATAATTCACAATTGCAGCGGGTATAAATATTTCTTTACTCAATACGACATTCTTCTTTCCAATGAGGATAATATCTGCATTTTCCATATCCTTCGGGGCTGACACGGCTATTCGAGCCATTGATCGGGCTTTCACAGAGACATTAGCATTAATGAATGAAGCTTATGCCAAAAAATCTGCTAAGGCACGCCTCACAACCTTTAAGGAAACGAACACTGACGTAGACCGCAATATTTATATCTCAAATAGGAAGATATACACGACCTTAATAAACTTCAACAAATAAAAAAGGGGCTGAATACAGGCCTTAACATGTTGAAAAAATACTTCGAAACAAATCATCTAACCCTGAACGAATCAAAATCAAAGATAATGGTTTTCCGAAACGGTGCCCGCCCTGCAAAATCGGATAAATAGTTCTGGGAAGACCAACTGTTGACAGCGACATCGAAATATCTCTATCTTGGCTATCCACTTACAACAACAATCTCGTTTAGTCAAGTGGCTTCATACTTTAAAGGCGAAGCGCTTGCAGCTACCGGCGAAGTATGGAAATTTATGGAGAAATCCAGGTTGAATTCATTTGGTTCATCAATGAAGCTATTAGACTCGATTATCCTGTCAACTCTGCTGTATTCAGCTCCAATTTTTTATTTGTTGAAGTTTATTAAGGTCGTGTATCTCTTCCTATTTGAGACATAAATATTGCGGTCTACGTCAGTGTTCGTTTCCTTAAAGGTTGTGAGGCGTGCCTTAGCAGATTTTTTGGCATTCAGGAAAAACAAGAGCTTCTTAAAAATGCCTATGACTCCGCAAACTTTTGGAAAACTATAGCTACCTTGAAAGACAAAAGCTATATACAAGGAAATATAATAATTTAAGAGTGGCAGTGCTTTTACAATAAACTGCTCTCTGCTGAGACGACGATAAGAAGCGACCTATCTACTCTCTCACCAATTGATCCTGAACTCTACTGTGAAATCTCCATAACAGAAATAACTAGAGAAATCTCCAGTCTGGCAAATGAAAAAGCTTGTGGCGCTGACGAAATTCCGAATTAACCATTAAAGACCCTACCTTTCGAACACCTTGTTACTCAAAAAAATATATTCAATAGAATCATTAATTCTGGTTAATATCCCTTAATATGGTCTAAATCTATCACCCATCCTATTTTTAGAAGCGGTGACCGAGATAATCCATCAAACTACCGCGGAATTGCCCTTATTAGTAATCTGTCAAAACTATTCACATCAATACTAAAATCGCGATTACGCAACTGGATTGAAGGTAGATCAATTATTCCAGAGAACCAGGCCGGATTCAGAAAAGGCTACTCCTGTCAAGATCACATATTCACACTGTTGTCCTTGATAGAGCTGACTCTCAGACGTGAAAGAAGAAAACTTTATGCTTTTTTTGTGGACCTAAAAAAAGGCTTTTGACACTGTTTCCCACTCACTTCTGTGGTCAAAATTGGGTGAATTAGGTCTGGATTTCAGCTTTGTTAACCTTATTAGGAACTACTTCGAACAAATGACAACGACGGTGAGATGGAACGGACTATTTACTGAACCCATCAAAATCCGATCAGGAGTGTTACAAGGAGAACCCTTATCACGCTATCTATTTATACTCTTT